CCCGCGCCGGCGAGGAGGAGAGGCACCCGCTGCACGAGAGCCACGTCCCGGCGGGACGGAGATGGAGAGGGGTGCAAGCTGCCTCCAGGCTGGCGCGGGGGAGCAGGGATGCAGGGCCAGAGCAGGGATGGAGCGGGGATGCAGGGCTGGAATGGGGATGCAGGGATGGAGCAGGGATGCAGGGCTGGAGTGGAGATGCAGGGCCAGAGCAGGGATGCAGGGATGCAGGCGTGGGGGATCCAGCCCTAGCTGGGAGCTGGGAGCACAGTGGAGCTGAAGCCGCTTTGGGGCCAGGTGAGCCTGGAGCGGGAGTGATGCATTCCTGGGGCAGGATCCTGGCCTCCTGGGGAGCAGGGGCCTCGGCACAGGATCCAGCCTGGAGGCAGAAGTGAGTGGGATAGGGAAGGACGCAGCGAGGAAGATGCTGGAGCAGAGGGGTGGAAGCAGAACTCGGCTGAAGCTGCCTACCTTATTCTTGCTGCTCTCGCAGCCCTGCAGGCTGGCCAGGATCTGGCTCTCAATGGCCTGGACCCAAAGTTCTCGCTCCTCCGACGTGGAGGCCTCGAAGAGCCACGTCTGCCCCGTCAGGGAAACGATAATGAACTCAAACGGCTCATCTGGTTCTGGAAAAGAAAGGGCAGCACAGCATGGGTCGGGAGGAGGGGTGCGCGCACGCAGAGCCGCGCACACCCCGGCCCCTGGCCCTCCTGACGCCCGCACTGCACACAGCCCCAGCTCTGGCGGTACCGAGCACGCACGCTCGGCACATGCAGCCTCCTTCCCTAACCAGGAAATCTGGGAATGCTGTGCAGGGAAGAGGATGATGCCATTCTCAGCTCTGAGGCCTCCTGGCTTGGTGCCTGCTGGTAACGCCGCAGGTCCCAGGGGTGCCCAGAGCTGCTGCGCTGGGGCTTGGGGCATGGGGCACAGCGAGGTGCAGGGAGCAGCCCGGCCAGAGGGCAGGGCCGGGCACCGGCAGCTGCGGCTCCGGTGGGAGCCTGGGAGAGCGGAGGGGGACGGGGTGCCTGGAGCGGGTGCCGTGGGGCTGCTGCAAGGCGCTGCTGCGGTCTGCTCGGTGCCGGGCGCGTGGACCCCGCAGCTGCCCCATCCCTCCCCGCAGCCGGGCACCAGCATCTACCTTTTATTGCCAACTTCAGTAGTTAGTGCAGTAAATGACTTAACTAAGCGGGGCCTGAATGGAATGACTAATAAACGTTATGTCACAGCACACGCTCCAGCTCATAGCAAAATGATTTGTAATTACCTAATTAGCGTTATGCAAATAACACCCTCATCTCCATAATGTGCCTTCCCAGCTCTCTATTAAAAGCAGGGAGTCAATCGCGCAGCTCCAGAGAGGGCACAGAGGCTGCGGGGCCCCACGGCCCACTGTGGAGCAGGATCCCTGCCACGGGGCAGGAACCCCGCCATGGGGCAGGATACCTACTGTGGGGCAGAACACTCACCATGAGCAGCGCTGCCGCATCCAGCAGGGCTTGTGCATGAGCAGAGCTGCGGTGAAGCTCCGCTCCAGGAGAGCGGGGCAGCCGTGGGACGTGCAGGACAGCACAGCCGGACGGTCTCTCCACGCGCTCCCTCCAGCTCTCACGTCCTCTGGAGGTTTGAGCACCGCCACAAACAAGTGCCGGGCACGACACCCGACTCGGCGTCTCCCTGACACGCAGCTGCTTCCTCCAGCCCAGCCTGGGGGTAAACGCTGCTGCCGCTGCTATGCGTGCTGCAGAGAGCCATCTCCTCACACAGTGGCCGCAGGGCCCTGCATTGTGTCTGGGTCTCAAATCCCAGTGACATTTGCTTGGATAGATGCCTGGCCGGGGCTGATGCTCAGGGCTCTCCGCAGTGTCTGCTGCAGAGGCCCCAGCAGGAGCCGCAGGGGCTCGGGACCATCAGTGCTGAGGCCACGCGCTGGTGCAGGAGCACGAGGCTGCTGCCCGGCAGGTGCTCAGGAGGATTAAACGACTCGGGATGAAGGGCTCTCCGGTGCCATGCCAGCCGGCTTGCATTTCTGTGCAGGAAGGGGAAACTCGCACTCCTTGTTTCCTAGACTCAGCCTGGCACTCCTCTCCTGCAACCCTTCCTCCTGCTAGGAGTAGGGGTGTCTGGGGTGCCAGCAGGGGACAGGGGCTCCTGCCCTGCCAGCCAGTTTACTGTGGAGACTCTAACAGCACCGAATACCAGCTCAGAAATATCAGAAAGAATTTGAAAATAGAGATGCTTTAACTTCCAGATATGAGAAGAAGTAACCGGGCAATACCCTGGCTAAGAGCCTCCACTGACCTGGAAGGCAGCTCTATCCCCAGCACGGGCACACACGGACACGGGCAAGGAGCACCAACCCAGCCAGGCAACGTGCGCTTGGGAGCACTCAGGCCACCGTGCCAGCTCCTGGCCACAACCCCCCCGGCCGGTTGAGCTGCCACCGCCTCCTCCAGCTCCTGGCTGGGACGGGGAGCTGGGCCCAGGAGCTCACGCTCTGCCTGAGCTTAGTGACAGTTCCTCCACCTCTGCAGCCGTATTGGAAGACACGAGAGGATCCAGGCCGCTGACAGCTGCGGGATCGATTACAGCAACCACACGTTGCCTGCAGCTAAGCGCTAATAGCCAGGAAGGAAAGAGCGGCTTTTCTTCCCGGGGACCACAAGCGCTCAGCAGCCCGTGGGAGCTTTGGCTGGGCCAAGAGCCTGGGCAGAGCCACCCTCGCAGCAGCGATGGACAAAGCCTCTCCCAGGCACCCCCATGTCACAGAAAGGCCCTATTCCCCCTTAGCTCCCTCCTGTCCCTGCAGCCTCTACCCCTCTCTCTCCCTGCGGTAGCTGGGGACAGCCCTCGGGCCAGAGCTCTTTGGAGGCCGCAGAGGAGCTCGGCTATGGCTGGAGCATGGGGAGCTGCAGGTCCCGGCCCGAGCTGCATCCCAGGGTGGCAGGGCTGGAAAAGCTGTGGGGGCTCCAAGCAGCTTCGCAGAGGGTGCCCCGTGGCCCTGTGCAGCCACCCAGGGCAGGGCCATCCTGGATGGAACACGGCCGGCCTGGTCGGCACCGCGGCTGCCTGCAGACCTGCCGGGGGGAGCCCATCGTGGCCGCTCCATTAGAGCGGTGGGCAGTGGAGATGCGCAGGCTTCTCGCTCTCTCTTGATGGTTTTTTGATGATATTTTAAAGACTGAGCCCCGCGAAGAGCCACGGAATAGAGCATGGCGTGAATTGGCTCTGCTAATGGGCACTAACCCCACGCCCCAGCTGCGAGGAGGCCGGCAGTGGAAGGGAACGCAGGGCTGGTGCAGTGTGAGTGCAGGGCCAGTGCAGTGCAAATGCAGGGCTGGTGCAGGGCAAATGCAGGGCCAGTGCAGGGTGAGCACAGGGCCGGTGCAGTGTGAGTGAGCACACGGCCGGTGCAGCATGAGCTCAGGGCTGTTGCAGCGCTGCACCGCTGTGCGCAGGGGGGCGGCTGCGAGGGTCCCGTAGCGAGCACCTTTGCGTGCACCCTGCTGCAGCCTGTCCCAGCTCGGGAGCAGCAGCTCGCACGGGTCCTGCCTTGCGGGGCCGCCGTGCCGTGAGGCAGGTCCTGCCTGCACAGAGCCCCCCGACACCCAGGCTCCTTCCCTTGCTGCGGCAGTGCCGGCCTCGGGACGCTTGTTTGCAAGCTGCCACCGTGCCACATCATTACGAGGTGTTTGGGATATCAACAAATTAGCAGGCGCCTGGGAAGAGTGGGATGCGGCGCCATTCGTAAATGTCAGCTCGCTGCCTCCTCATTTTGCAGATCATTAAACCCAATATTCCTAACCTGTATTAGTGCGACGGGGACAGGGCCCTCTGCTGTGGCAAGGCACCAGGAGAGCTGCAGCGGGAGGGCTGCGACGGGGACCCCACGCCGCCTCCGTGGCGGCAGCCCCGAGCGGAGCAGCACGGTCCCCTCGCCCACG